CATATTCCCATAACCGTAAGCCATAGTCTATCTTAACCCATAGTCCATATTTCCATAACCATAAGCCATTGTCAATTTAAACTAGAGTCCTTAGATCATCTAACCTAACCCAAACCACCTATACACCCTAACCTTACGCAACCGAAACCAACTATACACCCTAACCTTACCCAACCCATATCAACCATACACAGTAGCTTAGCCCTACCATAAACCACACCCCTTTGAACCCTTATCCCCTAGCCTACCTTGACCCTTCTCCCCTACAAGGACCTCTCAAGGAGCACTGAGACCAAGCATAGCCTTCCGAGCTCGAGCCCCTTAGCTCATCACATAGGTACCCAGATTCAACTTCATTCTCTCTTCCTCTCTTTCTCTCTCCCTCTCTTCTTCTCTCCTTTTTCTCTTTCTTTCTCTCTCTTCTTCTCGCACCCTTCTCTCTCCTGCCCTCACTCTCTTTCTTGTCTCTCTTCCTTTTCTCTTTCTTCTTCTTTTGCCTCTCTCTTCTTTTTATCCTTCTTCTCCCTCTCTCTTCTTTTCCTATTTCTTCTTCTCCCTCTCTCTCCTTTCTCTGTCACTCTAACATTCTCTCTTTTTCCCCTCTTCTTCCTCTCTCTCTCTCTCTTTCTTTCTCTGTCTCTCTTCACAAGCCAACAGCTTAGCTACTGCCCCAACTCCTCCCCCCTCTCTCTCTTTCCCACTCGGGCCAGCGGCCAGGCCGCTGTCCCCATCTCTTTCTCTCTACTCACTTGGGCCAGTGGCTTAACCGCGGCCCCATCTCTCCCCCCTCTCGTCATCGCTATTCCTCTTTTTTCTCATCCCTCTCCCTCTCTTCCTCTTTCTCTTCTCTTTCTTTCTCTTATCCCCCCCCTCCCTTTTCACTCTCTTTCCCTTCTCCTCACTCCCTCTCTTCTTCTTTTCCCTCTCACTCTCTTTCTCTCTCACTCTCTCTTCCTCTCCATTCCCTCTTAATCTCTCCCATTCACTTTCTTTCTCTTCCCCTGTATCTCATCATCTTCTTCTTCTCTTCTCCCTCTTTCTTTTCCCTCACTCTATTTCTCTCTTCTACCCTCTTTATCATTCTCTTTCCTCATCTCTCACTTCAATCCTCCAACTCGGACCATCCTTTTGCATGAGGCTCTTCTAAGGCCGTGCCGAGCTTGACCCATTCCCTTGGCCTTAAGAAACCTCCGGGGTTGGTCCCTTCCTTTCTCATTTTCTTCTTCTCTTCTCTCTCTTTCGTTTCCTGCACTCTATTTCTTTTACCCTCTTCATTATTCTCTTTCCTCATCTCTCACTCCAATCTTCTAGCTTGAACCATCCTTTTGCGAGAAGCTCATCTGAGGCCGTGCCAGGCTTGACCGGTTCCCTTGACCTTAAGAAACCTCCGGGGTTAGTTTCTTCTTTTCTTTCTTGTCTTCACTCTCTTCTCTCTCATTCTAGCTTCCCCTTCTTCATTCTTTACCTTTCATATCACTCAAACCATTCTTAGGGGGCTCTTCCAAGACACATCCTGGTCAGGCTTAGTCCACCAGTATAGTTTCTTGTGAATCCTCTGTGGTACTTAGGTTCCAAGCCTAGTGCCTTTTCCGTTGTCGTCTGGCACATACCTCCTTGGGGAGGTGAGGCTACCCAATTTTCTCGACCCTTTCTCGTCTTCTCTTACCCTCTTTTTTCATCTTCTCATCAATTCATTTTCATTCTAAAAGTTGCTCTTAGGAGGCTCTTGCAAGACGCATCCTGGTCGGGCGTGTCCCACCAGTATAGTTTCTTGTGAATCTCCTGGGTATCTAGGCTTTGTGCCTAATAGCTTTCTTGTGCCTCTGGTAATACTTCCTGGGGGAGGTGACGCCGAAAGATTACCCAATACTTGGGTGACTTCCCCCTCTCTTCTGTCTTTCCTTCTTTTTCTGTACTCCATCTCCCTTTTTTCTATCTTCATCTCTTAAACTCTCAATCCCCAAACCCCTTCAAATCCTATCACGAAAGGCGAGGCAATGGGCGAAATTTCAAGCCATTTATCAAGTGGGTACTTGAAGTTGTGCAAAGTTGCACCGGAGCCAGACTGAGCCGAAAAGGCCGGGAGGCTTTCGAAATGATCTAAGAGGGCTGAACGCCCGGACGTGTCCCGACCCCAAACGAGTGAGGTGGGCCTTACCTCGTGCTTTTATTTCTTTTGTTGGTTCGATCCGCACCTACCACACTACCCAACCCTTCTCCTTGTGGGCGCTGGGGTCACGTCCACACACACACGTGCGTGAACCCGAAAAGGGGGGGGGGGGAGGGGGTGCAGCATGCACACACCTTTTCTTTCTTTTCTTTCTCTCCCTGAGATCCAAAGAGGCGCCACGAGTTTTAAGAAAAAAGGGGTTTCACGAAAATCTAGGGCCTACCACATACCCTCCATCTTGGTTTTAAGGTAGGTTTGTTAAAGGTGAAGAGCATGGACTTTTTTATAACAAGGGAAATTGGAGTGAATTGAAGAAGGATAAAGGTGTTTAAATCCGTACCACACATCTTGATGGCATGATGGTGGATGGTGGGCTAGGACATGAAGGGCCATAATTCATCATCTAGAAGCATCTCCACACTTGAGGCTTGAAAAGCTATAAACACCCCTTGAGTCAAGTTTTCACATACATGAGATCACATCATAAACTTTCCCTCCAAAAGTAGCACGTCTCTCTCTCTTCACTATCTCTTTGTTGGCACACCCAAGGCCATTGGGTTCTTCCGTTCTCTGTCTAAAGAGCCTTTTCATGTTGTGCGAGAGAAGAGCTCCTTTGAAGGTCTCATACTACTCCATTAATGATGATCCAAAGCTCAAAATTTAAGCCGTGGATGATCTAGTCTTCAAGCCTTCAACAATTACTCTTTTTCCCCCTCTAATGATTATATCTTTGCTTCCTTGAATATTTGCTTCCTTGAATCTTTATTGATCTCACTTGATCCATGTAGTTTAAGGCTTCATCCATGCACAATTTGAGATAGTTATCTATGAGCTTTCTCCCTTGAATTTTAGAGTATTTCTTGCTGATATCTCTTTGAGTTTTTCATATTCATATCAATCATTCAGATCACCTCCTAGTTTTCTTCTTAAATTGTTGGTTTTTCAAAGAGTGAGTATGCCGAATTTTCATGAGCCACTCTATGAAGAAACTTGAACTAGTTTTGCTTTCAAAGAGCCAGATCTCTCCCACAAACTTCCCACTTGTTTTATATCTTTGAATCTCTGCAAATTCTTTCATATTTGAAGCATGTATGAATTGGCCTGGATTTGTGATATGCCATCACATGTCATCCATTGGCACATAGCCGGGCACATGAGAGCTCTAATTGGCTTCTCATGGTCATGATACATTTTATACTTGAACAATAGTGTGTTAATGTAATGGAAATCATGTTGTAATATGTTTTCGAGTGTTCATTGGTGTATAATTTTGTTTTGTAAGATTGAGTGGTGATAAATTTTCAAGAGCACTATTCATGTGTAGTTTGATTATCTCCCTTTATGGGGACAAACTACTTTGGATGCCTGATTCCAAAGGACATTTCCCAGTTAAATTCATGCTCCAGATCTTAATCCATTCCATGCAAAATGCAGTTGCCAAAAAACTGTAGCTTATACCTGCCTGACCAAGAATCAGATTTTTTGACGGATGGCTGCCCATAACAAGGTGGTGACCTCTGACCTCCTTACGAGCCGGGATTCATCATCTTGAACATATATGCCCGATTTGTAAGCTTGGCCTCACTTCTCCACTATAAGGAAGTGAGTAAATTTTGGGCTTTTGCATTTGGTCTTATCAAGCTAAATTGGGCCCCCCTTCCTCAATTGAAGCCCTGTTGCAACATGGTGCAACGAACTTATGTAAGCTAGTAATTATTCTATGAAGAATTATATTATATGGCTAGTTTGGAAGGAATAAAATGCTTGGTGTTTCATTAAGCAAAAGGGGAAGAGAAGAAAGGATAGATCCAGATTACAGTCGTCTCATGGGCCAAATCAAAGAATGAATTCTCGGGATATTCATTAAATTACTTTGAATTTAAATGGACCAGTGGAAAATTACCATGGGAGGGTAGAGCTTTAAGGTGGATAGTGCTGCCCCCTAGGGGGACTTAATGGATATGGAAGTAAACTTTGATGCCAGTTCTATCGCCATTTTGAGAGAAGCAGGGGTGGGAGGCACCTAAGAAATGATGGAAGAAAGATTATTTTGTGCTATTTGGAACCGCTACATTTGTGCAATGCAAATGACTCAGAGGTGTGGACTTCGCTAACTGGGCTGAGGAGTTTAGACCCTAGTTGAAAGTAATCATTGAAGGAGACTCTGTAACAACCACTGCTCATGCCAGTAGAGGATAGGTCTACCCATGGACTTTACATAACATCTATGAGGTTTTTTTTCTTGAGCAAACAGTGTGTGCCACTATCCAGCCTATGGAGGGAACCCAACCAACTAGCAAACTCATTGGCAAAAGAAGGCATATCTGAGTCCTCATTAGTAGTTGCATGTTTTTGAATCTGAGGATAGATATTGATATTGAGCTTGGAGGAAATCGGTACATGGTTGAGTCTTGTATATAAACTATTTTTGTATGTGGTACACATAATTGTAAACCAAATTTTGTTTAATGAAAGCATTTATCATTCAAAAAAAATTTATTGAAGTTAAAAAATTGTGGGAAATGGACTTAGGACATGCGACACCTTAATCAATCAAGCTCCGAAGGCCGATTCCTTATAGAGAATCGAGGTTGTTTTCAAAGGAGTTAGTATGTTGCTTCTTCAGTTGAGAATGAACATTTAGGTGTTCTTTTCTTAGGGTACCCATAATTTCCTGTTCAGTGAATGAAGCATTTTTATTATTCCTCATTTAAATTTTAAGTTTATCTTAGTGCTATTTCCAAGAATTCCTTTCAATTTATTGATTACTTTCTACAATTGACTGAGGTTGTACTGTCATTACTTCTGAAATGGATTGTGGCCTGTGCAGGATGTTCCAGGTCTTTTTGGCTTCAGGGAAACATGCATGTGCCACAAAAATTTTAAGGCGCATATCAAAAGATGACCCGCACGTGCGTTATATCATCAAGGCATCCAAGAAAGCTTATGATAAGCAAATGGGTTAAAAAAATTCATAGTTCCTCATCTTCAGCCATGTTCTTCAGAGAGAAAACCCAATCAGTACATTGTGGTTGCTGCAAATGGTTTTACCTTGTTCATTGATGTCCAGAGCACGGAAATAGTTGACCATCAGACAACAGGTAAACCCTATTAGAGGCATTTTTTTAATTTCTCAGTTGATTGGTACAGTGATAGAATCCTCCTGTCATTTTAAGAAAGAGCGAAATACCTATATTTCCTACAGTGTTACGGCCTGTTTAAATATGACCTTTCTCCATGATGAAGTATTTAACTGATGTCAATTTACCATAATATTAAAAATTGAGCTTTTCTACAAATTTGTTTTGTAAAGTAATTTAGTTATAAGGAGAAATCATCTGTACCCAAAGTCTATTAATCATATCTATAACATGCTTTTTGAACTCTCACTTAGGTTGAGCAATTTAAGGTTTTTCTGCATGCTGCCATGAATTTGGTGCTGTTGGGCAGCATGGCTGAAAATGAATGTGGTTTACGCATACCTTTAGCTGCCAAAAAACTAACCCAAGAAGTCTGCACAATGCCTCCACTATGTGAGTTCGACAAAAACTGAAAGTTCTTGTTTTCATTCAAGTCCCAAATTGATGGGCTGTGGTGAAGCACTGACCACATATTGACTAAATTACAAATTGGCAGCAAAAACCGGGTTCAGCCTTTCTTGGAAATAATGAGATTGTTTTTGACATCTATGGATAAATTGATTATGGTATGGATGGTCTTGAGTTAAAAATATTGCCTTTTAGGGCCAATTTTTCTCATTCAAATGTTAGTTTATGTTTCATGTTCATCAAAAGGAATAGAGCAATTCTCAGCATGCTCCTCATGCTAACAAGATCAAAGACATTTGCTGTGAACAGGACGCTAGTTTTGTGTAACTTAGAATCTCTATATCATTCATTGGGAGGATCCGGATGGCGAGCCATCCAAACAGATAGTTCAGACACCAAAGAAAGCCCTTCTACACACATGCATAGTCTGAGTGGTCCATCCAGAATAAGTTCTTTACAAACTGACTGTTCTACTGTCAGTCAAGTCAAAAACAAACAGAAGACTTCAATATAGGTGATATATGAGTTGTTTACAAGATATAATGGAATAAGGATCAATTAAGTTAGAGATGAATGTATCCGGAAGTGGAAGTTAGTTTTGATATTTCTTTCCAACTACTGTGCTTATGGTGTTTGGGTATTTGGGCAACAAAAAGTTATGAAATTGTGTAGTGCTCATAGCTTATGGACTGGGTACTTGTGCATTTTTCCAGAGGTGAAATCGTTGCCATTATGACATTTTTATCAGTTAAAAGGCAACTCGTGTTCGGAAGATGGCAAGAAACTGAGAGAAGCACTCTTCTTGTCGTAGGAGCTATTGTGAAGGATACTAATGCATATTCCAATTCTTGAGAGTCAGAATGCCTCCTGTGAGTCCTTTGTGTCCCACTGAAGTTGACATGCGTGTCATATAGTATCTAAATGGCCCCTGTTTTGGTAATTGATGCAGGGAATAAGGTTTACTATCCTTTCGTTCTTGCAAATTTCTTTCTATTGGCAACCTTTTTGTATCATTCATTACTCATCCCATGTTTCTCTTTTTGTGATTGCAGTGATCTTACTGTCAGAAGGTTCAGGGCTATATGAGGATGGATAGTTTCTTGTGATAGAAATTGAGTTGGTCCTAAAGATCAATGGTGTTCTTAATTATTTAATATTGTATCAATCTATCTGTTGTACTAATAAGTAAACACCATTGTTTCCTTAATGGCTAAGTTGAGAATTCTGCAAATCCCACAGTAATTCCCATATGTAGAGTATTGCTTGTAATTTGGTTTTCAGGTGTTATGTTTCCGTTGCTTGTTAATCACATAATTGTCTTTGGATTATGACTAGAGTGAGGTTCAAATCGGTTTCAACTGAACATGTAGGACATTGCCCTAAGGGAATGAGGCAGAAAATGAATAATATTAATTTTTAAAATATTCGATTTATTATTTTTTAGGGATTGTATATTATGGTATTATTTATCATTGTTACAAAGAGGTCACAATCACTTTTTGCCATTAGATTTCAAATTACATGATTTGGAGTGGGTTACGAAGTTCGAGAAATTTTCTTTTGAACTTTGAGTCTGGTCAATAACACACTTACAACTATCTAATTTAAAATCTAACAGACAAAAATGATTGTGATCTCCTTGTATTAAAAGTAAATTGTCTTTTTATATATTTTTTTTATTTCCTATTTAGTGAATTTTCATTAAAATTGTGGCACGTCATTTAATGGATATAACGGTCAATATTTTCAAAATAACAGGAATAGTGGGCGTTACGGTGCATTACAACCTTTTTTATTTTTTTCTTTTTTTTCTTTTCCACATTTGCTTTTGAGACCCATTATAGTAGCCATAGTTCTAAAACTCAGCCTTGGCGCAAGGTGAGTTCGGAACGAGTAGGTTGTACAAAAAAAAATTAAAGTTTATATATATATATATATAGTTAGGATGCCCTCTGCTGTAGCATAAACAAATAGGTGTCAGAAAGATTGATGGTACCTTGGCCAAGTCTATTTTTTAAACACTGGTAGTAGCCGTTACACCGTCAAGTATTGGCTTTACATTAGGAGCACACCCTTTGTTTGTAGCAGGTATTTTATGCGGTTCGTTGCCATTGCGAAGTGTACCAGCATGTCTGCTCCCATCCTAGTGTTAAAAGCTGGAAAAGTACGAGGGTTTCCAACGATGAGACTGAAAGGCCCGTATAACGTGCTCCCATAGGAGCAAATTGTACACTTGCTCTTTGTAGTTTGGAGCATTTTCTTAGGAAAAGTCATTTATGGGTCAGCGGGTGCAAGGGCCTGCTGATTCATTAACGTCCATCTCAAAGATCGATATTGTAAAAAACTCGCAAGGCTAAGATAAATATAGACGGTGTAGAATTTTTTCTGTAGAAAAAGCACATTTTAAATTTTGAAAATTTTATTTTATTTTTTCATATTTATAATCATCTTAACCTAGGTCATGAATCACTAAAATTTTAGATTAGAAGTCCATTTTACAATAGGTTTAAGTGGGGCCTGCATTTGCGAAGTTTGAGTCGGGTGACTCATAGAAACCCCCATCCTTTTCTTTATTTGAAATGTTGGGATCCGATTTGAGGGATGGGGATCGTTTCTTTGCAAAATGCTATCAAAATGGGGTTTTTCCTCAGTTTTTAATTGACCAGTTGATAATCTTGTCAATTGCCATTTGCTCTTTATGGATGTTAGATTGTGATTATTGTTACAGTTTGAACTATACATCGTTATTATTCCGTGTAATGGTTGTAACATGAGTGTTTGTTTTATGGTGGTGGAATAATGTGACAGTGGCCGTGATAGCGGTGGATGTGGTGGTGGCGATGTGATGGTGGTTGTGGATTGTGGAGGTGGAGCAATGATGGTAATGGTGGCGCTTAGGAGGTGGTGGTGTGAGTGATGGCAGTGGTGGCGGTTAGGAGGTGGAGTAGTAGAGTCCTGCTGGTGCTGTGGTAGTGGTGGTAGCCAAAAAATGAATAGCTAATGGTCAATCCTTAGGCTCAATTTTTTCTGGCACTACTTAAAGAGTGTATTCAGTTCTCTTTTATTAGTTGGGTCACTACATTGAACAGGTTAAATCCCCAAAAATTGAGGTAAAGCTAGAATTTTGCGTGAGAAATGTATAATCTGCTCACATGATCAATTTTCTCATATGGGAGCTTATTTAATTTTATCTACTTTTAGCAAGATGTTGTTTTTTACGTAATTTAAAATAATAATAATAATAATAATAATAATAATAATAATAATAAACAGTGATTTTTAAAAATGATTAAAATTTTGACCCGTAGTGTTAGAAGAATGCATTTTTGGAAAACGATGATAAAATCATTTTTTAGCTCTTTCAAGAAAACTTTCTAAAAAAAAATTGCCTATATGTCCTAAATATAAACATTTTGGAACTTTTTTTGTATTCATTTGAACTTCTAGAAATCTTGATAAACTTTTTAAAATGTTCAAATCTTCCCTTGTCTTTATTTATTTTAATTTTTTTGAATTTAACCAGATAGTTCAACAAAGTACTTTCACTAACATCCTTCCAAAACAAATTGGTGCTCCAAAAAAACTATATTTCTCAAAACATTACTAGTGATATATTCCCACCGAAAAAAGCATATTCCCTTAAAAAATGTAGCTCCAAAAATTAAAATACAAAAAAAAAATAAAAAGGAAGAATTGTGCATGGGAAACATTCTCTATCTAGAAAAAGAGCCGGGGTTTAATTTGTTAGCGTTAAAAAAAAGCCGGGGCTTAATTTGTTAGCACTGGACGATTTACAACATTACGTCCTAGGCTCAATTCATACAAGGGACCCTCACTCACCCAAAAAAAAACATTCCCTCTCTCCAAAATCAGTACCAAAACATAAAGGAAGATAACTATTAAACCATTAAAGGGAGAAACAAATAGGGATATCATAACTTAAGATGTTAAGGTGAGGTTTGAATCTTTCATAGTTTTCTCTTTGTACGGATTTCTTAAAAAATGTACTTTCAAAATAAATAAATAAAAAAAAAGGGAAAACTTGCGCAATAAAAACATGATCTTTCTTCAAACCATCAGGGTCCAAGCCATAGATAACTGCAGGTCTTGATGACGTGAAGTCATTATTTTAGAAATTTTTCTCCGAAACTTTAAGATCTGAAGTCTTTGCATGAGTTATGTCTACAAGAAGTACGAGCACTTTGGAAAAAAAAAAAAAGAAACAAAACAATGCGCATGGACATAAAATACAAGAATTTGGTTTTTTTTTTTTTTAAGGGTGAGGTTTGTTTAAGGTTGCGAGACTTAAACAATCAAAGTAAGGCGCCCCCCAAATGATGCTGAAGAGGTGATTCAAGTGCCGAAAATCCCTATAATGGTAGACAAATCTATTTTTATTTCTAATTATAGAATTTCAAGTTTAAAAAATACTATAGATCTAGTATACGTACAAACACCTGAAAATCTTGAAAATGGAGGTCTAGATAATACATTAAAAGATATACTATTTCGAGGATTTGATATCTTTTTTCTTTAACAACTATACATTTTCAGATCGAGATGATCAATTATAGGATTTTTTAGCGTCATAACAACGTTTTTCAATGAGCTTTTGAGGTACCCTTTACTTCTATAATATACCGACCTTATATTAAAAAAAAAAAAAACTATGATAACATAAATTTATGGGGATATTGTAAATTTCTCTAGTTTTTATCTACACGCATTATAAAGTGCCCACATTATACTGTACAAGTAAAACACACCTCTAAAATTTATTGGAAGATGTAGTTCCAGTATTAGAAAACTTACAATAGGTTGGAAAACCATTTTTAAACTTCAATATGAAAATTAAAATTCAAAAAAAAAAGTGTAGATCAAGAAAATCTATAAACATTAGAAATAGTCAGTCTACTTGTTACAAGATGCAATATTTTTAAGATTTTTTTCGTTATATCTATACATCTTGAAGTCGAAATGATTAATAATAAGGTTTGCCAACTTTCGAACACTCTTTATACAAGAATCTAGAGGTGCGCCTTACTTCAATAGTATAAAGTTGCAACCCTATATAACTTTTGTCCTATATATATAATATATATACATTGCAAAATGTTGCACCCTTATACTATTGAAGGAAGTTGCACCTCAAAAATCCTACAGAAGTGTAACGACCCAAATTTGTTGAGCATGATGAAGTCGCTGCTACGCGACGATAGAAGAGAAGAAGGAGAGAGAGGGCCCCGCTAGTGTACGTGCGGCAATAGAAGAGAAGAAGAAGAGAGAGAGTGTCGCACAAGTGTGCGTGTTGTGATAGAAGAAAGGAAAAAGAAGAGAGTGTCGTGGCGAAGGGAGAAGGAAGAGAGCACGCAACGATATGAGGGAAAGAAGAGTGCTCGATGAAGGAAGGAGGAAGAGAGCGCGGCGATAGAAGGGAAAGAAGAGCGCGCGACGATAGGAGAGAAAGAAGAGCGTGCGGCGATAGGAGGGAAAGAAGAGCGTGCGGCGAAGGGAGAAGGAAGAGAGTGTGCGGCGATAGGAGGGAAAGAAGATCGCGCAGTAAATGGAGAAAGAAGAAGCGCGCATGGCCATCGGAGAGAATAAGAGGAGAAGGGTAAGGTCGTGCATGAAGCAAGACAGCCCCCTGCTGACTGCGTGTTGTCCTGTGCGCCAACTATCAACCTACATACCATTAAAAGGCCACTTGATAAGCCCAGAGTTCCACCTTCTCACCTTTGGAATATAAGTCTCTCTTTCGCTCTCTACACTTCATGTTTTGGAGCCAAAGTTTAGCCTTTGTACCATTGTTGACGAGCTTGAGAAGGTTCGTGATGGGGACTGTGGAAAGAGATTTGGGATCACCTTTGGGAACACAAAAGGTAGCTAGATAACTACCTTGCAGACCCATAAGTATGGAACATGAATGAAGTATGGTTTGAGCCTAGTTTGAGTAGAAGCATATGCAAAAATGATGACTGCATTTTCCAGAAAGCTTGCCTTCTTTTGCATGATAAGAAGTGAGCACTGAAATCCTTTTTGATCGCCCTAAATTTCTGTGGGATGATACTCTTGTGAGTATAGTTGAAGCTAGAATTAGTTTCATGTTGTTACCTTGCATGGATTAAGTGTTAGGAGATGATTTTGGGAAGGGTGTCATGGCTGGACTGTGATTTTCCAGGGAATTTGCATGTTTTTGTAATAAGTTTTTGAATGTATAAATGATATCCATTTGGCCTCAAGTCAACAGCATTTGAAAGATCTCTGGGTCTACTTTGAGTTTGTTTTTGTCCAGTTGAGATTCTTGCTAATTTAGAAGATATGTTTTATTTATAAATGTATGTCATTGTTAGCCGACTGTGATAA